TAACAGCGTGGACCTGCGTATGTGCATCTGCACGCCCGAGGCTTTGTGTACTACGAGTGCGTGTGTCTGTCGATTGGGTTTGCGAAGCTTCACCCCAGCCACGCAGTGTGTCGCGCTCCAGGGTGGGTGTCAGCGTGCGCCATGGGTGGGGGTGCTGGACTCGGGCAGGTCTGGGTGGATCCGGCTTAGATCTCAGCAGTGCTAGAGGTAGTCTCTATCTCCTTTTTCCCTGTCTCCCTCCCTCTCTCATCCCGCCCTATTTCTTCCAATTTTACCCTCTTATGGGTACCACCAGAGTGACCGGTGGATCTGTGAAGCACAGTTATTTCCCGGGTCTGTGGATATTGCTGTGGAAACAGTCCTAGGGGCAGTGAGTGTGGAAGCGGGGTGGGGGTGGGCGCTTGCCTTTCAGGAACTATAGGACTGCCGACACAATAGCCTGTGCGGTTTCGGGTTTGGGATGTGATCCGTGGGCACCAACATCTGTGTGGCTCTGCTTGTGTCTGGGTAATTGATGGGCATGCCCTTGAGTAACTTGCTGAGTGTCTTATGAGAGAAACACATTCTAAAGCTATTAGAGAGAGGACCTCCTTGTGTCTGCTCTTTCACTCAGGCATCCTAAGGAAAAAGTTTTGGGTAAAAGAGTCTTGCTCTAAGAATTTGGGAGCCCCAGTTATCTTCTGGGAAGTGGAGACACTAATGTACCAGCCTAGAAAAGGGGTTATGGGACACTCCCGAGTTCTGCAGGCTTACTGAGGGCTTGATGGGTGGGGGCCACAAGTGGCACCTACTTTCAGGCTCTGAGTAGCTTTTAGTGTCAAGAACAAGAAGCCAACTAGCACTGCTCTCCTTCCTATCTGTTCTCTGGGAACTGAGAGGAGACGGCGCAGGGGTGGGGGTGGGATTCAGAGGGATGCTCTGCCCTCAGGACGCCCATGCTTGACGTCTCAAGTGAGAGCTCAAAGAGCCAGGGAAGGAAGGTGGAGTGTGTGGGTTTGCAAGCGTGAAGGGAATAGAGATTCTTGGGGTACCCATGTTCAACTATTAGTCCCTAGTCCCCATACATACCATGGGATCTCGGTCATGTTTTCTAAGATAGTGATAGAGCTGAGCTATTCCCGAGTTAGTGTTAAGGTGAGAGAGTCTAACAGACAGTCGATGCTCAGCAGGCATGTGTTAAACGGCACGACAGAGGAGGGACCCAGTGATAGAAAGGAGTTGTAAGCAGGAACAGCCTTTGAAACTGAGATGAAAGGCCATGTGTTTGCTAAGAGAACAAGTCCACATGGGAAGGTCAGAAAGACTTCTCACATCCAACCCCTGGGAGTTTCATTCATTTATTCTCTCATTTACCATTGCTTCATTTATTTGCTCACATTTGCACAGAAACACGGGCACCCACAGAGCACTGCAGAATGACCTGAGAATACAGAGAATCAGCTTTCAGGTGTGTAAACACATCAGAGCATGAGAGTCACTCCATGTTAGGGTCTCGGCTACCTGGGCATTTGTGTGTCAGTGCTGTACCTGCAGGACATCAGAGTATGTATTGGACATTGTGCACCTGCTGTGGGGTCAGGTGCGCATGGGGGGGGGGTGTGCCTGTTGAGAAGAGTTCAGACCCACATAAGGGAAAGGGCCAATTACCAATGCCAGGTGTATGTTGTGTGGGGATGGTGGCATATGGCAGTCAGATTTGCAAGAGAAGTTGGAAAGGGAACCTACCGAGTCTGTATGGCTCTAGGATTTGGCCTGACTGGGGCAGAAAGGGAATGAGGAAAAGACAGATCCATGGATATGCTGAAAAGCTGGGATCAGGTGGTCTGGGCTCTCCAGTGGAGAAGCCACAGCAGTTGAACCGGGAGGCAGGGTTGTTGTATATGGCTTAATGAAGAGGCAGGGATATTACAGATGAACAAGGAGGCAGGTGTAGCTAACTTGGTGGGAGCAGCCTCTGTAGGGGAAGTCATCAGGCCATGAACCTGTATGGGAGGGGAAGCTAAAGTGGACATTTTCTGCACACTGTCTCCATTTGCATTTGGATCTGAGGAAGGCTTTGCCACCCCTCCCAGGAAGGCTTCACCACTCCTGTGGGACCAGTCCTTGAGGTGGCCATGCCCATGTCAACAATACACATTCACTGAGGACTTTGCTTGCTCCCTACAAGAATGCAAAGCTTAAAAGGTGAAACCGTGTGTGTGTGTGTGTGTGTGTGTGTGTGTGTGTGTGTGTGTGTGTGTAAAGGACCAAAACTCAATGAATAGAATTGGAAATAAAATAGGCAGAACTCCAGTGAACTGTCTGGCCCATGGCTACAGGTTGGTGACCTTTTGGCACGAGGGCACATGTGCAGTGAGTCTGTGTTGTATGTGTCCAGGAATTTGGTAGTATCTTCTTTGTCCCCACTCCCAATCCCTGCCTGCTTACACAAAGGTATTGACTTTGAGCTCAGTTAAGCTTTGAGCTTTCCATTCTTCACCTTCCTTTCTGCCAGGCCACATGCCCTGGGCTTCCTCCCTGGACCCAGTGCTCCATGCATCTGATCTTCTGCCTTCTAAAATCCACACAAATCTCAGCCTTTCCTGCTCCAACAACTTGACTGCCCACTGCTTCTCTGCCAGGCTTTCAGTCTTCTGTGAACTGGCCCAGATGATCTTTGGGATCCCCCTTCCCTTTCTAGAACACCCCATCCTCTGCCTGCTAAGAAGGCAAAGTGGGAAAAACCCACTCTGTTTTTGGCAGTTTTTAGATGTCATCACCCCACCCCAAGATTCCACAAACTTTCGTCCACTAGTTCCTATACTACTGTGTCTGCCACACCTCACCATCACCTCATCTCACACAAGCTCATACAACATTGCCTATTAGCTGAACTGGCCACAGCCTGATGAGCGCTACCCTTACCACACCCAGGAGGGAGGCTTCCCATTTTACAGATGAGAACACTGTTTTTGCAGAGGAGCTCAATCACGAGCTTAAGCACAAGCAAGGAGACTGGGATATGGACCTCATGTCCACTCTAAATTCTCCCATCATGGTGACATCCCATCATTGATACTTCCTGGGTGCTCTACTGTGCACCTTACACATGGGTTACCTCAGCCTTTCCATTAGCACTGTGCAGTAGGGAGTAGTATTAGTATTGTTACCGGGGAATTTTTTCAGTGGGGAAACCGAGGCCCAGAAAGGATAATTGCACCACCACTGTGGAGTGGGTGCCCTAGCACAGGCCACATTGCTCTACTGTCCATAGCTCCCCACAACTGTGCCAGGGACAAGTGTGGATGTTGAGCTTCAACTGACATTCTGTTTTCTCTTCTAGCTGCCAAGGGGCCAAGGGATGAGCTGGGGTCATTCTTCCCAATGGCATCTCCCCCTGGTCTGGAACTGAAGACATTGAGCAATGGTCCCCAGGTTCCAAGGAGACCAGCCCCACTGGGCCCAGTGGCGCCACACAGGATGGGTGTGGAGAATGCCTGCTTCTTCTCCGAGGAGCATGAGACTCATTTCCAGAACCCTGGGGATGCCAGACTGGGTAGCTCCCCCAGTCCCCCTGGAGGTGTCCCCTCACTGCCCCGGTCCCAGCGGGATGATCTTTCTCTGCATTCAGAGGAGGGGCCAGGCCTGGAACCTGTGAGCCGCCCAGTGGACTACGGCTTTGTTTCTGCTCTGGTTTTCTTGGTGAGCGGAATCCTCCTGGTGGTAACAGCATATGCCATCCCTCGAGAGGCCCGAGTCAACCCTGACACAGTGACAGCAAGGGAGATGGAGCGCCTAGAGATGTACTATGCCCGGTTGGGCTCCCATCTGGACAAGTGCATCATCGCAGGCCTGGGGCTGCTCACAGTGGGTGGCATGCTCCTGTCTGTGCTGCTTATGGTCTCTCTGTGCAAGGGGGAGCTGTACCGAAGGCGGACCTTTGTCCCTGGCAGGGGATCCAGGAAGACCTATGGCTCCATCAACCTGCGTATGAGGCAGCTCGCTGGGGATGGGGGCCAGGTCCTAGTGGAGAATGAGGTTGTCCAAGTCTCAGAGACCAGCTATACCACCCAGGGCTCTTAAGGAAGAGTCTACACTATCTTGCTGCTTTAGCTGCAGAGCTTGGAGGTGCCCCAAAGCCTGGGGCTTCAAAGTGAGATCCACAGATGGCCCTGTGGAGGGAGTTTTGGTGCTGGGTTGGGGCGCCTGGGGTCTAGCTTAGGCCCTACCCAGGCAAGCACTGCTGATGTGTTTTGCAGCTTGAAGTTTTTGCATAAGGCTTTGTTTGGAGGATGGCTTCTGCTGCTAAAAAATACATTTCTGGAAACCACTGCTCTTAGAAGATGAGGTTGCTTGGCATTTCTCAGGGTTGGGAGTCATGTGAAAGGTTGCCTCCATTCTTCATGCCTTGGGGAATTCTGAGACCTCCACTATCTTCATTAGCCAAGTAAGAGTGTTGGGTGACCATCTAGGGTAGACTGTGGCTTCATGATGATGGGAGAAGTCGGTTCTGAGGTGAGCCCCCTGCAGCACCCTACTGACTGAACCATAACCCTCCCCTCTCCAGACCCCAGTTGCCCAGTCCCTAAAGTGAGGAGTAGGACTGGGTGCCCCGCCATGGGCCACATCTGCCCTGGGAATAGGAAGCCAGTCTGCCTCTGGACAACCTTCAAGGAGGGATGAGGGCATTTGGCAGGGACTGACCATTGTCAGGGCCATCTTCTGGCCCAGCATTGGTGACTACTACTGCCAGGAGCCAGTGGTTCTCATGGCCCTGCTACAGAGCCCGGGTGAGTGGGTTTGGTTCAATCCAAAATTTGACATGGTGTGAATTGGTCTTGGAATTTGACTTCCTGTGGTGGCTAATTATCTTCGTGGCATATTTACAAAGCACAGTTTCTCCTGGGCACTTAGGTGTGAGGACTTGGTTGTATTTCTGTGGGCATGTTGGGGGCTTATCACCTCCCCCCTCAGTGGGCTGTTACTTGGGCCTGATTTCATCCTGGTAGCAGAAAACAATTTTCTTTAATGCTGGATTTGTAATGTCTGCCTGTCCTTCTCAGTGAAGTTCAGTTGCCAATCATCTGGGGAGAAATAGGGTACACTTAAGTGGCCTGGATACTCCAGCCACATGGATTGCTGTTTGCATCCTTTCTTCAGTGAAATATCCAGGGCCCCTCCAAACTCTAAACTTCTGACAATGGGAATAGGCATGGGTAAGGGGATGTGATGTTAGTGTCAGGCATTGGGGGAGCACTGTCTAGTCCAAAAGGCCCCGGAGGACTTCCAGAGCAAATACTGTGTAGGCTCTGGGAAGACTCTAAAAGGATCATTTCCATGAGCCCTTGCTCCAGGCAGGCTCCTCATCCTCCATCTTAGCTGCCTGTATAAGCTGAGATCCTAGTTCTCGGTGGGGGTCAGAACATGGGGTGACACAGGGTCTGTAGGCTGGAGAAGCCCTGACTATGTGGAACATGAACCTTTAGCCCAGGCAGCTTGAACATCTGGGCATATAATATCACAGCTTCTGAGACAGATCAAATGTCTGCTCATGCTGGCAGTTCTTGCCTGGAGCAGAGGGCTGGGGGATGGTTGAGGGGGACAAAATTGTGCAGCTTGGTTTCGGAGGTTCTGCTGTGGTACTGAGAGGGCGTGGTATGCTAGGTAAATTACAGCAAGATGGGGCATTACCAGTGATGGGTCCCAACTTCCTAGTCCATGATGATGATAATAAATGTATCAATCCAAGAGATGTAGATACCTATAGCAGTAGAGGGGACATGTTAGGCTACAGTGCCTACTGAGAGGAGCCTGGAACTGTCCCTTCAGATCAGCTTAAACACAAAAAAATGTACTTAAGGGCTAAATCTGCTAGAAAATAAAGGAATGGCATTTTTTTTTTCCAAGCCAGAGGAACCTGCTTTGCATTCCGATAGGGAAACTCCTTTAGAAAGCACATGTGAATGGATCAAGGCAGTCATTACCTTGTCAGTGAATTAAGAAGATTTGAAGAGGCCAAAAGCATTTCCCCAAGATGCAGCTGAGATCTCCCAGCAGGTGGATGGAGGTTTAGGAAGAAGTCGGGGGGGGGGGGGGAAAGGGGGGGGGGGGGGGAGAATGAGGAGTGCTGAGAACTTCCCGTGGGTTTCTTTGGGATTAGATGTAGAGTTGTCCCTGCTGTTGGTGGAACATGCCCGCCCCGTTTCTAAGAACTGCCTCTGCCATCCCACAGACCACTAGACCCCTCAAACCGTGCTTTCTTCATTGTATCTGAACAGTGATTTCAGAACTGGTAAGATCTGGGTTTGAATATGAGTTCTGCCACTTACTGGCTGTGTGACCTTGGGCAAGTTACTCCACCTCTCTAAGTGGGTTAACTGGGTCATATTGCATTCCTTAGGTGAGAATTATGGTTGGCATACATAGTAGGTATTCATGTTTGAATGAAAGGATAAAACAAAAAATTATATTCCTGTCAGAGCAAAGTCCTGGCGCCCTACAGTCCCTGCCCAGCTCCCCAGAGCTCTTGCTAGAGTAGTGTCTTAGGGTCAGAATTAGTGACACAGAAGATCCCATGACTAGAAGCGTGGATGTGGTTTGTCAGTGGGCTCTGCAGCTGGAACATCCTCTCTGGGCCTTGGTTTAGCTTTGTTTCAGGAGTTTCCCTGATGGAGAAAGGTTCTCATTCCAGCCCCGGCGTGACATAACCCAGTGATAACTGGACCCAAGAGACATTTACTGGGAGAGAGGAATCTGTGACCTGACTCCTCTTGCTCATTTGAGGCCCTGGGGTATCTAGGCCCAGGTGTTTAGGCCCATGCCTGTCATCACCTCCACTTCCCCGAAGGTACCTTCTGGGTCTCCCAGTCAACAGGGGTTGCTGGGTGATTCCACCATCATTGCTCTTTTTCTTGGAAATAGCCTCACCTTCCTAGGGATTCTCTTTCAAATGTCCTCCCTACACACACACACACACACACACACACACACACACACACACACGGTACCCCCTGTCTACATCTCTGCAGCTTTCCCATTTGACCTTGCTCAGGAGCCAAGGACTCAGCCTCTGGCTGCAGAGTGCTAAGCCAGGGCATCCTCTGGCAGCTGACAATGGTTTCTTTCTCTGTCTGCCACAGACCCTGTGGTTTTAAGCTTCCAACCCTTCCAGCAACAGCCCAGTGTCCCCTCCATAGTTCCCCTCCTGTTTCCTTTCTTGAGGGAGGAGCAGAGTTATGGAGGATTCCAGGACCCTAGTACTTGGGGAGGGGACTGAGCTGGGAACTGGGAGAGCCAGGTCATTGTTGGTTACCACTTCCCTGTGGGTGACAGCAAGCAGAGGGCAGGACAAGAAGGTGGGAGGTTTCTAGAAGACAGAGGTGAGGTTCTGTTAGGGGGAGTGGGTTGTCAGTGGTATGGATATCGATGGGAAGATGTCTCCCATCCAGTTTGTTGGTTTTCTCCCTAAATTACCCAGGGTTAGATTCATCTGGAAGAGAAACTTTCCAGGGTCTTGGTTGAACTGGAGTAGTAGGGAGTGCCCATCAGTGGAGGGATGTTAACATTTACTTGCCAGGAGTCAAGTATCTTCAGAGATGGAGCATAGAGGAGTTAGTTGGATTTAGCTGAGGCTCCCCCAAGCTTCCAAATTGTTAATATGAGGTGAGCCAAAGTCTTTAGGGCCAGAGCCTGGCTTTTTGTTCTGCTTTAGCTTCTGTTCTTGAGCCCCTGGGAATCCCCCTACCCACACCATCCCCTTCCTGGATTGGTTTGTCCTGAGCAGACAGACAGCATAGGACACCTGCATGTTGCAGAGAGTGGCACACAGTGTTGGAGCATTGCCTGTACACAAGTCTCAGAGGGACAAGAGGAAGAACCCCAAGGGTCCATGGAGGCTGATTCATCAGACAGTATAAGGAATGGTAGCTCAGGTGCTTGGCAATGGCTCAGTGCCTCCTGGCCCATTTCTTCTTCTGGAAAGCAGCAGTGCTAGTCCTAATGCCTTCCCTATAAGACTGCAGTGAGGGGTTAATATGTCTTTAAAGCACTTGGCACAGTGCCCTGCATTTCCTAATTGTTCAGTAAACATTCATGTTCTCTTGTTCACCCAAGGTATTCTTCCATGGTTCAACAGATAAACACAGTCCTGGCTGGGCTTCACCCAGGCTGTCTTGTGCAGGATGGTGTGGCTGTGCAGTGCTGTGGGGTACAGAATATGAGAGAGGGTCGGGGTGGGGGAGATATTCAGAGGAGGAGTATGTGAGTTTGGGGGCAGGAAGGTTCTTTTGGAAAGGGGGTACTTAAGGAGAACCTTAAACAACTAGGAAGATGTGGAGAATTGGTGGAAGGGCTCTGGGGCCTCAGCAGCTGGTGAGTGAGATGAGGTGGGCAGGTGGTACACAGGTGACTGAGGAGTGTGCAGTCAGACTCCTGGTGGGTACTTGGGCTTCATCATCTGGAGAAGGGCATGATGGGCAGGTTACTATAAGAAGGCTGTAAGGCATGAGTGTGGCAATGTGGTGAGAGGGTCCGTCCTCTCTATTTTTGCAGGCTTGTCTGGAAGACTGTCAGATACACTGTGGGGGCAATGCTGTAGCACCCATGGCTCTCCTTTAGGGCTTTTACTACAGCTAGGGGACATGGCCCTGACTCCATGCCTCAACTTTGCAGCCTTTTCCTATTTGACTTCTGAGTCTCCAAGGTCAGGGTGGCGGCTGCTGGTCTTCTGGGCTTAAGGAAAAGTAGCAAGTGAAAAGAGACTCACTAATCAGTTCTGGCCCAGGGGAACAAGGAGGACAGGGAAAGAAGGCAGCTGCCATGCCAACCTCTTCCTGGGAGGTGTGGCATCTAGGTCAGTACTGACTCCAGGGCCAATGACATTCAGCAAAACCTCTTTTTTTCCTTCTCCCAGCCTCCCTCACTCAATTCCTTTGTGTGTCCACATCTTCTTTCATTGAAGCTACTCATGGGTGATCTGTGTCACTGCTGCTACACTCTCCCTATAGTCCCTATTTTTTCCATCAGAGATTAAAGCAGGAGAAGCAGGAGCCCAAATGCATACATCTGCAGAGTTTTGCAGGGAA